ACATTCCGCGCAAACACGGCGCCGTATATAATATTCGAACGGTCGTGAATTCGCCTGGGCATTAAATTTAAATAAATATTTTTAACGGTTCTCTCGGTAAGCCACCATTCTCGACGCCGGAGAACTTATTTACGAGCCGCTCGACTCCATATAATCGCCAATTTTCTTCGGGGTATGCCCCCGTCACTGCATAAACCTTCGGTAAATCCCGATGCCTTTAGCTATACCTAGACGTTGTTATTTTACGCGAGATCACCGCGTTTAAATCTATGCCTTCCAATTTTCGCCATAATCTGGCCCTCGGATAACTAAAATGGAATTTTTGTCGCCATTTTTGTGTTGATACTTCAATCTTCGGCCCCCTCTGTCGCGTGAAGACAAAAAGTTCGTATACCTAGCGAGTGTCATCAACAGAATTGACATGTGTGTACAGGTTATGTTCTAAATATTTCTTTTCATTTGCTGGTGTAAGTCTATCGAACTTAGTAAAAATGCATATTCTTTATCCACCACCACCGGCACCAGCAGGTACAGAAAATGACAGAAATATTAGGTAATAATCAATAAAGTAAGTAACCTAGATAGTCCACCATATTTAGTAAATATCTCATTAATTTTCCTAAAATTTACAAATCAGAATTATGTCATAGAAAAAGGCATGTATTTCGAGAAAAACTATACCAAAAGGTAATTGCTTGAAGTATTAAAATCAATTTGATAATCAATCAACAATCATAATGATTTCGATAGGTGTTTGGTACTACTGTGACGTTGACGTTACTTGGAAATGACAAAAAATTCTGTGTTATATATTTTTTTTCAGTCAATTTATTATTTATGGAAAGTCTAACCAACCAATAAAAATAAGTTGTGCATAAAGTCAAAGTGCCAAATTCGCGAAATAGTATATTACGCAACAAGTTATCGAATAATACTTGACGTCCAGTAATCTGATAAATCTATCTGTAAACAGTCAGGTCTGATTTTTGTATTGATAAGAGTATCTAAGATTGGAAGATTATTGAATAGATTCGAATTCAATGACAAAACTTATGTGCGGGTGCATAGAAGAATAAATGGCTAAGAAAATCTCGAAGAGATTCTAGACCATGAAGCCAAATAACAACAACCCGTCGATTTCTCAACGATGAATTTGACCGCTCAAAAAAAATAATGTTCCAGACAAGCATTTTTCAAGTAAGATGAGAAGGTTTGGTTTCAGATTCGCTGATTTTGATACATATGAAATAGTGTTAGGAGTTTCAGTAATATGGACCTTTGTTTTAACGGTTCATTTTACACGTTATAATTCCAAAAATCTTCTAAACTTCAAGAGCTAAAGAGATTCTACAACTGATATAAGCAATAATACCAAAAATTACCACCATGATATCTAAACTTATTACTTAGGTTTTAGCGTGGTTCGTAGGATTAGAAAATAATGGCAAATGGGAATATAATAAACACTATGACAATAATCTATGGACCAGACAAAACTGCTTTAATAGACATAAGATTGAAAATGTATCAAGGTCTAGCGATTGGTCGATCGAGTTGAAAACATTCCCCTACCTAAAGACAAAAGTTGACCGCGTAATTCTAGAAATATAAAACGGCCAAAGATTACCGTTTTACAACTCTGGAAGCCACCGCGATCACAAGACTTCCGGTGCCCGCTGTCGCAAATGCGATTCCCACGAAACTAGCTCCCACTACGTTTGTACATCTGCTCGTGGCGATTAAGACGGCCATTTATGAATTCGATAACACTAAATCGCGACGTATTTTCGCTGGCATTGGGTCGTAATCGTATTCCGAAGCGATTTCTGGTCTTCGAGGTATCTTAATATCCCTATTCCGATACGTTAAGTGTCCCCTTATATCATATTTAGAGGCTTTGTCCCGTTATCTCTGTAGCATCCCTTTTAAGAATCTTATTAGTTCCATGTTTCGTGTGGGGGCAAGAAGGGATGTCGCATACGAAATGGGTTATTGTTTTAATGTCATACTTCTGCAGGAAATTGAAAATTTCAATTGAAAAACACTTTTAATTTTGATTGGAGTCTGGATTATTGCCACTGACGTAAGTGAAAAATCAACAATCTTTATTTCAGGAAAGGCATCACAATTGCAATTGTATTTAATATACTATTATATTGTTTATAAATTAAACTTAACTGACGTTTCCCCAAGCATCTTGTTGACTTCTTCAGAGCTTAACTGAAACCAGTTAGCATTCTGGTGGTCAAGAATCCCTCCGATATTTTGTAACCCTAACATACATTTTACCATTGAATTGCAGATTAATGATAATCTCCCATTCTAAGATATTCTTATCAGTAGAAAATCAGACCTAATATTGAGTCATTCTGTTCACCATCCTACCCCAAAATCATCGATTATCAACTCTCTTGTTTTCAAAGTCGTAAAACTATGTCAACCAGAGTCACTGAACCCAGAATGGAAACAGTTTATATCTGCTCTTTTCTTTGATAATAAGCGTTCCACCACAAAATACACTTCACCACAATCTTCCTAAGACAATGAGTCCCCCACACTTACTACTGTTGTCCTTCCTTACATTCTAAACATCGCTGACCACATATCAAAAGTTCTTAAGAAATATAACTTTAAAACCAGATTTACCACTTGCCCAAAAATTTCTCAACATCTTCGATCCGTCAAAGACAAAATTCCGTTTGAGATGCCAGGGGTTTACAGCATACATTGGAGAGACAGGACTAAAAATAACTAGGTTCAAAGAACATGAAAGAGCCTTAAGATTACGATAAATAAACTCACCAGCAGAATCGATTCTTCTAAAGAAAAAACCCAAGAAACCAAAGCAATCTATGAACAACCAAACAACCTTAACCGCGACTCAAGTTTCAATTATAAACGACGCAGAAGATTTGTAAATAGTATTACAGCAGCCTGTGGTACTATATAAAAAATCAATATTATCCCAGCATTAGCAGGTTTTAGGTTCCTTCGAACAACATTTAAATTAGTCCCAGGCGTGCTGCATAGAATGAATATCCAAATTTATAGCAGATAAACTTTTTGTCACGTATGGTCTTGCATTGTCATGCATTAAGATGAACCCATCACCAATCTATGTCATTAGTCATTGCTCCTCTATTTACTACAACTAATTCTGAGAGGTCGTTTAATAAAATGGATAGACCTTCAACCAAGATTCAGATCAGAAGCCAAAAGACTAAATCTATACTGGTTGTTTATGGTCCACTTAACATCTTCCCTGCCAAACGTCAAACGGGTCACATGGTGAACGCCGCTCGTGATGTTTCCAATCTCTCCTAATGTACAGTTTCGGCTACGTACTAGTGTATTTTGCACATTGCGGAAATAGAATAACAATAGGTAGGTATATCGATATTTTTGACTGAGCAATCGCATAATAAAACAAAAGTTTGTTCCATAGTATTGTTTAAACTTCCTGGAAAGAATTATTTCGGAAAATCAATTTTATTAAATCCTTGTAAATAAATCTACGGGCGTCAGTGTAAATCACACTTTTATCGGGTTAATCTTAAACACTATAAAACATAAAAGGTAAACACTTTTCCCTATAAATAGCTTCGAAAGTGTCGATTCTGCATCAAATATTCGAAGCCTGTACCCGACTCCACAGTCGAAATGAAGTTGTCAGCGCTGTTTTTGCTAATGGTGGTCATCTTGTCAGTGATGATGGGCAACGCCGAAGCGAGCTGGTTGAAAAAGAAGGGCAAGCAACTTGTAAGTTTAAATCCCAACGAAATTCACTGTTTTTTTTTACAAAAGGCCCTTTGCGTTTAATCCAAACTAAAATATAGCGTTTTAACTGGTAATTTTCGCAGGAGAAAGCAGGAAGACGTGTGCGGGACAGGGCAAAGGAAAATTTGCCCCTGGTTGCTGGGTATGCAGGAGTTGCAGGCGCGCTTGGCCGCTAGATCCTTTATTCGAGACATTTTATAGCTGATATATTTTGGTTAAAACGTTATTTTTAACTTCCCCCACTTGGGTAGTAGTTACATTGTGATTTAGTAGTTTTTTTTTCACACATGGGTAAATGTGACATTTTAAATAAATATTAAATAAGAGAAATAAATAAACCAGTAAAAGTATTGATACTTCTTTGCTTATTTTATACAGATTCATTTCACACTAGAGAAATGAGAGCTGGGGAAACTGCGACTTATTATTATGGTGAAGTTAGTACGAATTCCTCAAGTCGACAAACAAATTTATAGGAAAAAGCAGTTTACTTGTATTTAAAAAAAAAATTGTTCTAATATTAATTCGCTATAATTATTTCCCTAAATTTTTACAAATAACTCGGTTGTTTAAGTATAAAAGGTTGGCGAATCTTTTCTTTTTAGTATTCTGGAACTGGAAAATAATGGTGATAATTTAAATAAATTTGATGTGCCGTGGGTGGCTTCCTACTAATGGTATCAAAATAGTGAATAAGTTTACATTTCTCTAATTTAAAAACCACCAGATACGTAATTTTTGATGCGATCTGTCGATTTATTTTCCATCTTTGTCTGCAAATGCCACGTGTTGTAGACCGAATATCGGGACACTGTCCGTATTAACAAAATCCTTTAAAATACACCTCAGGACAAAAAAAGAATCATTATTTCCTCGGCCATGAAAATTACTTACAATGATGTACTAATTCGGCCAGCATTACTTACTAAAAACCTCAAAGAACTCCGACACAAATATTTTTTAAACTTAAAATCGAAATATAATTTTTATGAGAAATTATTTAAAAATATATCGGTTTTGATAACAAAACTTTGAAATTTTGTAGCAGTGACTTTTATGACCCAATCGAATGTATTTGTGGACCAAATTTAATTTATATATACGTATCAGCTCCTATATAAATAAACATTTTTAGGACCCATTGTACATATTCTTTTAAAATAATTTATTTTCAAAATAAATCACGAAGTAAAAAAACATCACTACTACAGGATCTTTATTTGTTTAAATTTAAAATAAGGATTAAAATAAGTGTACTGATGAATTTGGACCAATAGTGTCAATTCCCTTCATGATACCAGAGATTCTGTTCTAAAGAAAGCAAAACAATGAGGGACGCGCGTAAGCTAGTGTTAAATAATGACCAAAGAAATATTCTTATGATTAAAATAAATCCTGCCAAAACAAGATCGAACCAAAATCTTTTATAGCAAACTATGTATTTATTTTAGATAACATATTATCGCGGAATGAAGACGTCAGTTGCCTTTTCGGGGCGTTGTACAGAAATATATAGATTTTCAAACCAAAATAGCTGTTTACCACTTTGAATTCCAGTGTCATATCAAATATCAAACCTCATGTGGAAATTGAAGAAGCATGGAAAAGAATACTAAGAATTATTCTTAAAATGAATTTTAGGCAGCCATGTAGGGGGAACTTTAAAAATAACAAACTTCTAGCGGCTACTGGAATTTACATATAGAAATTCATTTTAAATATCTTCAAAAATAGGCACCTATTTGCCACGAGTGAGGGGCAAAACCAGAAAATTATAATTATTTATACCCTAGACATGAACTTTCAGTTACGAATGCATCAAATTTTATAATTCTTTCCGAAATTATATGCAGAGGAACCCATGTACTCATCCAAGTATTAAAAACAGCAAACGTGTAGTGTTTGACATACTAATTGATATAATGATGGTATATTGTACATAGATAGCAGAGGATCGTCAAAATGACGTCAATTAGTCACCAAATGACGAAATTCAGGTTATATATGACGTTAGCAGGAGTGAATTTGACTTACAATGATATTCTGAGTTCATGTTTGTGATGTTAATGAGACATCCCTTTTTATGTCACAATGACGCGATTTTGACGGGCCTCTTTTTTCTGGATAGTGTTAATTAGAGAATTGTTTGGGCAAGATTCATATTGGTTTTTTCCTGTTTTTTTTTTGTTGTTATGACACTATTTCGCTTTTTATGTTTAAATAAAAGAATTATTATGAATTTGTCAAGCCTCTTGGAACGAATTAAACTGTAGTGGTTCCCCGTTTTGTTATTGTCAAGACCATGATTTTATTTACCTATTTTATCTACGTATAATTATATTGTTTGACATGCGAATTTCTAGGAAAAATCTGGAGCGCGCACGTAACCATCTTATCTGTCTAACTCGCTTAAATCCATGCTGCTAACGGCATCGGAAAATCTTGACGGCACTTCGTCGGCAGCCGCGCAGAATGCGAACTGCCCCACGTGACAAACTGCGGCCAGAAGGGGCAAAAACGTTTTTATGACTTCGCAGATTTTTTCGATGGTCGACGACATCTTCGTCGCGTGTTTTCCCAACGCGTTTCCCATTCGACTCGCCACCTGACCGAACTTCAAAAGCTGCTTTCTCTGGAAATCGTAAAAAAATTAACCGCCTAAGGGAATTAACGAAAATATTTTCCGGTAAACCCAATGATGAATTTTGAGTTTTTTCACTTCGCAACGAGAAGTTCAATGATTGCACGAAATTTTTTCGAAATCACTAAAAAATCTAAAAATTTTCTTGGATATTCCTGGACTTAATTTAACATCAAGTGGTAAGAACATTTCACAACAAAGAAAATAAAAAAAAACAGTGGCGGAGACAAAACATTTGTTCCTAGAAGGACGTTGTTTTCTTGTTTCTAAACAATGAAAAAATATTTTCTAAAGAATAAAAAATCCTATAAAATATGTGTATTTTCCAACACAATCTGCAAAAAACAGTTATGCTTAATTAAAAACGAGTGGTGTGAAATTTTCAATAATATGATTTTTTCATCATGGTTCAATAAACTTATCTTGGGGCGGACGTCATAAGACTAATCAGGATAAACGTCCCATACATGATATAATAATAATAATAATAATAATAATAATAATAATAATAATAATAATAATAATAATAATAATAATAACATTTATTGAATTTAAACTTTACAATAACATAATCTATAAAATTGATTTAAGTGGAATAAATGTTTTGTTTTACCAATATTAAACTAAACCAATAATAATTACAATAATAACAACGAGGCAAAGAATCTGCTTGTGACATTTATAGTAATATAATATTATAGTTCTGGAAATGAAGGTAATTTGTAGAGCAAAGAGAATGGATATCTCTTCACCGCTTAATTTTATGATTCATATTTATTTGTTTTGTTTATTTGTTATTGATGATTCAACGTACCCTGGAATAACGAATAACAAAATAAATACCAATCATAAAATTAACTGCCTCATTATGATACGTTTTTAACTAAATCCTTAGTTTTATACCATGTTCTCACTTCCTCTCTCTTTCAATGCTTTTTTTCTTTTGAAATCTTTTAACAGAACTGTTAAGAGTAATTGAGTAATATTTTAGAGAATTTATGAAGTGTTGTGGTTTTACAAGTACGCTTTTTTTAGTGCATATTATTGAGTATGATTATCGTATGATTAGCCAAAATTTATAAAATAGGGCCTCAAAAATAACCAAGAAGATTATAGTACATAATGAAAGTAAAATGGGTTGAGTCTTAATATTTTATACTTAGGATTATACAATTTGTAAACTGGAAAAATGTAGAATTCTTGTCCGTTAGTTACATGGCAGTGGGTGATTCAGTAAGTCAATATTTAAAAACAGAAAATAACTAAAACGGCGGAAAAAGAAGTACAATTTAATTTTTCAAACAACTAATCAATCAAAAGCCAATAAAATCCAAAAGTAATTCTTTATCAGATAATATGTTTACCACCCAGCCAGGTGAATTTTCTTCTTTCCCATCGGATACTTCGGTCTTTGGCGTAGTCGGCCATTTTGTTACGATTGCTTCACTGTGGAAAAATCCTTCGGGTATATTCCTCGAAACAACCACGTCGGCGTAAAGGATAACGGTGATTGTAAACAACGTGGCGATGTTCAACTTCGAGGAAAACATATTCCACGTAAATATTTTTTCTCGCGACATTCCTCAAGTCGAAGTTTTGGCGATACTGTTTTTAATAATGATGAAAAAAAATGTTCCCGCTTCGACTTCCGGTTCGTGGTTAACCCGAAATGTTCTTAATTAGGTCAGGAAGGTGAACATATCGTTTAGATAAGCAAATCTGGGTTAGGTCTTACCACAAAAATTTAAAAAGGACAAAGAAAACAGTATTTCTTGATGTGTTTTTAATGGATTTCATTTAATGGATAACATATTCACCTTGTCTTATTTGAGGTAAAGTTATTGCATTCAGTGTAAAAGAACGGTTGTTAACATAATTGAAAAAGTAAAGCTTACTGAACGAGGGTCCAAATGGGAAACCTACAATTATGCAGCTAGGGAAGTAGAGGAGGGCGTGGTCGACGACCCCGAGGGGAGATTGAATCGATGCTGGTTTTTGGGACCTACATATAGTATCTAAAACGTATTAAATCACTTGACATATAAGGAGTATTCCAACAAGTGGTCTCGAATGTTGCTAACGAATAAAATAAAATTTTCATAACATACCTAAAAGTAATCTATGGCAGTGCGTGGCGTAGACTTCTCTGGTGGCCCACAATTCTTGTGTTGAAGTTTCCCACATTTCTTAAGGAGATAAGCCTCCCTCTAAACTGTGTATGCAGTAAATTTACCGTTTCGCTTGCTGTATAACATCATCTTGTTCCACAAAAAAACATCATCGTTCGGTATCGTTCTTCATTTATTGTAACAGTTTGTTCGTCTGCATCTTCAGAAAAATACGGCACTCAGCCCAAAAGCCGCATCAAACAGTGACACGTTGAGCATGCATGGAGATTTTGTAGATTTATCTAGGATTTTCATTGCCCCAGATGTGACAATTTTGCTCAATGAAGTAACCGTTTAAGTGAAAATGATTTTATTGCAAAAATTATTGTTATTTGTCTTCAAAGGTATATTACAATTAAAAAATGCTCTGTGTTAAATGAATTTGGTAAGGAATTGGACCTAAATATTTTTTCGGAACTCGCCATATTGAAATTGTACCGACTTCATAAACAACGTTTCAGATAAGAAGAGTAGCAAAAAACCCATTCGAAACCTCTTACAGAAATAGATTTAGGAAGTTTTCATTTTTTAAGGAGTTTTGTGGTTTCAAATCGAATTTCATTAGCTATTTGAGATGGCAGTATCTTTACTGTCACCCCTCATGACTCTAAAATTCCTCGTCTCTACGGACTCCCTAAGCCAGGATTGTCCCTTCGATCTATTGTCAGCACCATTGGTTCTCCAACAAATTCTCTAACGAAATATCTAGCTTCTATATTTTAACCCTTTACAGGAAAACTAATAGTTTCGTACTGAATTGCCTTCATTTCATTGAACAATTAAAAGGCATTACACTAGATCCACAGGATATTCTGGTTAGTATCGACATAGAATCCGTCTTTACTAAAGTCCCTATTCCCGAAATTTTCAACATCATTAGATATGTCAAAATCCGAGAATCTGAAGCCAAACTTTCTGAAATTAATGAAAAATGCTTGTCTGGAACATACTTTTCTTAAAACGATCAAATTTTTGAACAAACATCGACAAAATCTGTGGGGGAAGAAAGCTCTCGACGCATTCTACGTTAAAAACCCAAATTATCAATGGAAAATTATACCTAACATAGGGTCATTGAGTTTACAGAAAACGCATGCACACAGGGCGAGACCTTAATGCATTGTCACATCACACACTTGATCCAGAATTAAAACACCTTACTTCTGCTCTTCTCTATAATAATTTCCACATTAAAGATATTAAGCGTTCCATCACAAAATACACTTCACCACAACCTTCCAGTAGCAATGAGTCCGATCCCACTCTTACCACTGTTGCCCTTCCTTACATTCAAAACATAACTGACCACATTTCAAAAATTTTAAAGAAATATAACGTCAAAACCAGATTTACCACTTGTCAAAGAGAAAATTGCGTTTCAGATACATTGGAGAGACCAGACAAAAAATATCAACTAGGCTCAAAAAACATATAAGAGCCTTAAGATTAAGACAAATAAATTCATCTGCATTTGCCGAACGCAATCATGAATTCGGTTATCAAATCTCATCTTATTCGATAGAATTAAAATTTTTGCATGTAATCGATTCTTCTACCAACGAAAAATCCGAGAATCTATAGAAATCTATAAACAACAATCTTAACCGCGACTCATGTCTCTACCTGTCACCAATATGGGAATTAGTAATCTATCCATCCATCAGACCATGAGGGTAAATAACAAAAGTGTCTCCATCATTTTTGTTTAGCTCCGCCCCCTCAAACAATATAGGTATAAGCGGGTACAGAGTGAAATGCGAACCAGTTTCAGGTAAGCTCTGAAAAAGCCAACAGGATGATTGGCGAAACGTTAGCAAGTTCGACTCAACAACCGATGCAGGAAGATCCAGAAGTTTTATAAATAGAATTACAGTGGGCTGTGGAAGGTTCTTTGAAAAAAAAATTCGTGTGATTTGCAACGAACTTCACTGTATGTTTGTCAAATAAAGATTATTATTATTGAATTTGGGACTGAAACGATAACAACAATTTACCAGAACTAAATCAATGGCGCTTAGGAGAGAAACGATTTTCCTTTGTTATTAGCCTAATTACTCGAAAGTCTTTGTAGCGGATTTCGGCGGATCCAATCTAAATATCGAATGCATAGATTCCGCTACATAATACAAGCACACTTCGTCTCTGTACGGCCAAATTAGTTTCGACAGATTAATATTGGCAAACTCGAGGCATTTGGGAATACGTAATCATCAAATCAGAGTATTTGTATATACCACGGGGAGTGGATCTGACACGGAACGTAGAATAAGGGGTTCATTAAGAAAATAACATGTTAATGCTGCTTACGCCGAGTAATCTCCGCGCTCGAAACTTAGTAAACACGTTAGTAGCTTTTCCTTATGTCAGTGGTTTTCAAAACATTTCTGTGCATGTGTATTATGAGGATAAACATTGCGGGATTGCAGACGTCATAAATCGTCATAAATCTATTGTATACCGTGATTATACCGTGATCATATAGAGGCCGTAAATACACAGCATCGAATGCCAGACACGGAAATTTTAAACACGCAATTTTTTTAATGCGATTTTGAAAAAAAAAGTCTGTAAAAATGAGTTCATGGGTATTTTTTCATGGCGGGTAGTAAACTATGGTTCCCGTATGAGGAAAGGTTTTAAATTCCGTTTAATTGGTAGGTAGAGCTGAGAGTTTTCTGAGAAGCATAGTACGCCAACATCAAACAAACGATATAGATCCTCGCTGGATATTATGTGCGTCACACTTGGCAGTTTTAGCCTGGAGGCAATTGAATAAACATACAGGTTAAAATAAGTAGCTACTTATTTATTTTTTTCTTAAACTTTGCATTTTGATTATTAAATTATATTTTGCTATTAATTGATATGAACTAATAAACTGAGGATACGCTAATGCCTTTAAATGGCAACGCACCGCATCGCCTGGAAAGAAAGTAAGTTAGATAGCGAGGCGCATCGTCGATGCTTATCTTTAGATCGTGAATGAGCTCTATGTAAGATCTGTTCATAGATATAAGAAAGTGGCCAATTGCTTTTGAATGGGATTATCCAAGGGTGGTCATTAACATACAATGAACAAGATTATTACCTAAAGTTCCGGAATTTAAATTCAGGTAAAATTGTGGTCCGTAATAGAAAATAATTTTGTACCTACCTGTGTTTAATATTCTTTGGTTTGGTATACTACTTAGTTTAAGTTTATTAGTAATCGTTCTAAATTCGTGTGCAATACAGCGTGTGTTGAATCGTGTGCGAATTATGCAAAATATGTGCGAGTCTAGTGTATCTCAGGAGATGCTCCCGCCCAAATGTAGAAAACACTATTCTATTGAGACTAGGAAGTTATAAACAATGTTTATTTGACTCTCATTGAACGTGGTGCCAGCAAGCAAGCATCTTTAGAAGAAACGGCCACATTGACCAAAATTCCAACATCAACTGTATGGAAAATTGTGAATAATCCCATTCCAACGAGGAAAAAAAGAAGCGATGCTGACATTTTCTCGAGTGTAGATGAAAGTGATCAAGATATAATACCGCGTAAAATTTACTAGTTATACGAGGAACAAAGCGTGCCTACATTAGATATCTTAATTAGGAGACTTGAGAAAGATGAAACCGGTGTTAAATGTGGCAGAACTAGCTTATGGAAGTGTATTCAACACATGGGTTTTAGATTTAAAAAAAATGACAAAAGGCAAGTTTTAATGGAATCTTTTAGAATTCGGAAATGGCGACTGGAATATCTAGAAAAAAATAGGATTTACAGAGAACAACAAAGGCCAATTATTTACTTGGATGAAACCTGGTTCGACACTTATGATATCCCGGGGGGTTGGGTTGATTCAACTGATAAGTGTAAAAAAACGGGCCATCAAAAAGAGGTAAAAGAATAACTATTTTGCATGATGGCTCTAAAGATGGTTGGATTCCAAATGGACATAAATAAAAAAATATTGTAGTATATATTGTAGTATGTAGTAGTATCTTTCCTAACAAAACCCCAAATAATTAAATTCAAAGCAAAGTACGGGCCTGTTCGGCCATATTTCATTCTTACAGCTTGCCCGGGACTTTCCTTAATTCGTATCAGTTAGTCACTTTCTTATATCTATGCACAGACTTTACCTATAATATGAGAAAACCCAAAAAAAATCCCATTATATTGAAATTTTTGACTAAGTACCTGCTTTCTTTAAATCACCTTCTACACTGAGCTACTTTCGGAAGTTCCCAACTTTATTTACTCAACTTTATACAAAATATTTTGGAATAACTTCTTGGTTTCATATTCGTTCCCACTTCATTCACTTTATCCTTGTTTTTTTTTATGTATTTTATTTCATATCATCTGCATTTTTATTTTGTTTTTTCTTATTTATTAGACAGCAATTTATATTTGTTTTTTTTTTGTTTCGAA